AATATTTGGTTTTTAATTTGGTTTTATAGGGGTTTATATTTTTTGTTTTTGTACTTGTACTTGTTTTAATATGCTGTGCACCGCCCTGAGTCCTGCGGGAGAAGGGCGGTATATAAATTAAATTATTATTATTATTATTATTATTATTATTATTATTATTATTATTATTATTATTATTATTATTATTATTATTATTATTCCTTAAATGTTATTTGTAAAAGATGAGGTATAGTGTGGTATCAGGGACAGAGATTACATTGTGTGCCCCTATTTAGACTAAGGGCAACAACACTGACAAACAACATTTGGTTATTAGGTTCACACAAGATGCCCAACCAACATCAAACAAAACTTGTTAATTTAGTGCTATTTAGCTCACAGCTTCATAGGATTAGAGTATACTTTTTTCTGAAATACTTTGCTTTCAATGATGCAAGTAGAAGAGCTCAAGTAAGATAATTAATTGGCCTGTTTTTTTTAACTTGAATTTTCTTTTTTAAAATTCTACCTTTATTAGAAGATATAATTTTTATTTATAAAACTTTTTATTTATTTATAAAAACTCAAGGTAGCAAATAAAGCTTCTTCGTTGTATTTTCCCTGCAGCAACAACCCTGTGAGATGAATTGGCCTGAGATAGTGTGACTGCCCAAAGTCATCCAACTGGCTTTCACACTGGGCCAAACTGTCAATCTCAATTGACTGTTAAGAGCTATATACTGATTGATGATTTCTTCAACAAGCCACTGTTGACTCTTAACGAACACATAGACTGATTTTCTCCATTACAATCTGTCCATAACATGATCTTCCAGATCTTCCAATGGCACACCCAAATCACTGCAACTAAGTTCATCCACTTTGCTGTTACCCATATTCTTTCCTTTCATCTTTCTAGCACCTTAGACTTTTCAAGTGATATGTCTGAAGTAGGATAATTTGACCTGGTCATTTGTGCCTTCTCAGGGCGATGTAATAGCTCAGTGGTTAAAATGTTGTGCTTGTCGGTTGGAACGCCGACAACCTGGGTTCAAGACCCAGTGTCGCATGACAGGGTGAGCTTTCATCT